GTTCAAGCCCCAGGGCAGGCGTGTACGCAAGCAAACACACACACACCAGGCTCTGAGTCACCCACACCCACACCCGGCTCTGAGTTCAAGTCCCAAGACACACACACACACACACGCACACACACACACACACACACACACACACACACACACACACACGGCTCTGAGTTCAAGCCCCAGGGCAGACACACACACACACACACACACACACACGGCTCTAAGTTCAAGCCCAGGACAGGCGTGTGCATAAGCAAACACACACACAGTATTAAGTCCTCCTACCTGTTGTTGCTCCTGCTGTGGCAGTTTTTAGTTACATTGAAACTTTGGAAGGAACCTGTGAACTTTTTGCCACTTTACAGATGAGGACACAGACTCAGCAAGGCTCAATAGCTCCTCAGTGATGTTGAAGTATAGTGGTTTTAAACTGATGACTAACTCCAGATTCCTCTTCTTTTTGAATGGTTCCTGGTAGTGCATCTGTGGAACTGGAATGAGGGCTTTCAGGGAACACTTCAGATAAACTTGGAAGAAATAGCAGATAAAGAAGAGTATGGGAAGTGGCACTGTGGCTCAATGTGGTAGAATTCTAGCCTTGAGCAAAAGAGTTCAGAGGCAGTGCCCAGGCCCTGAGTTTAAGCCCCATGACTGACCAAAAAGAAAAGAAAAGAAGAGTGTATTTTAAGGTTATTTATGTGTCAGAGGGGAGAGAGCTTTATGAAGGGCTCCTGAGTGATAAAGGAAAAGATACAATGCAGTTTATATTAGCCTCTGCAAGATCTACTTGGAATCCTTTCCTAGTATTAATCATGGGAGTAAAGGTAATTTGCAATATTAATATCCCAAAGCAATTAGGATCATGTGGTGATTGATAAAACTTGTTTCAGTGAAGTTGTTGCCCAGAAAATAAGGTGTTTCTTGTTGAAAATTCAAAACCAAAATCTCTCCCTGCCTTAATTACAGAAGGTATGCTATATACCCATATGTATGTTTATCTGCCAACCTAAAGATAGAACTGTAGTCAAGTTAAAAGTTAAGAGCTTCGGAGCTGGAAAGGTGGCTCAGTGGTAGAGTGCTTCCTTGCATGCATGAGGCCCTGGGTTCGATTCCTCAGCACCACATAAGCAGAAAAGGCAGAAGTGGTGCTGTGGCTCAAGTGGCAGAGCGCTAGCCTTGAGCTGAAGAGCTGAGGGACAGCGCCCAGGCCCAGAGATCAGGCCCCATGACCGGACCCCCCCCAAAAAAAAAAAAAGTTAAGAGCTTCTCTTGAGTCTCTCCCAGATACCAAATAGCATATGTCAGATCTTTTAATAAAGAAATTTATTGAACATTGAGATATAAATTACTATAGATATAGCTTTCTGAATGTTAGAGGAGCAAAAGCCATACATTGCAGAGGCTTATATCCCTCTGTTAATATGTTGTTTTGCTGACGGTGCAGCATTTTATTCTGATTTATATATTTGAAAGAAATTTCTGTTTGGGATGTTGTTAAGTTTGGAGAATAAGTATAATGAAAGTGAATTTGGGGTAGCTGGAACAATGTGTCTTAGACTTTTAAAGAAGTAAATTTCAAATTAGAGAAAAGAAGTAAGTTTGAAATTTTTTGTTCGTGATTCTAAAAGTAAAAATGGCTGAAGGGGAATAGGCATTCATAACAAAAATCACAAAAATACATGTAGTCCTGATTGAGAAGACAGCGGGATAATAGCTGAAAACCATTGAAGGTACATTTAACTGGCTGAAGTTCTTAAAAAATGACCCATTTTGAAACTGGAGATACGGTTTCCGACATCTTCTCTAGCTAACCTATTAGCTTCACTTTAGAGAGGGCTGAAGCTAGAGGGGAAGATAGATGTCTTTAGGGAATAAAATATTAATATATAATCTTTAATAAATAGTTTTTAATGTATGTGTTTGGGTGTGTGTGTGAGCCTAAGGATTGAACCCAGAAAACTTGCATATGTTAGGCAAGTTCTCAATCAAAGTAATTTCAATAAAATAAGTAGGATAAGATTTTATAATAAGTATGAGTTATGTTGTCTCGGTTTAGTTACATCCCACAAGCCCAGAAGTCAATCACTTCAGCCACAGTTATCTGGAGTCCTATTATCTTTTTGTAAACAACCTAAGGGAAAGATTTGTGTCTATAGCTAAGGTCCTAAATTTCTTCTGAAGTTCTCATAAAAAATAAAAAAGGCCCATGTAACATGAAACTTGTATAATGGATATGCACCCAAAAGCAAAACTTCTTTGTGGGTAGATAAAGTCAAATAGGTCAATAAGCATGGCTTCATTTGCACCATCTCTGGTAACCTGAATTAGCTCTCTTAGAGACCTGAGAATAGAAGAAAGAAAAAGCCAGAAGATGAGAGAGAGAGAGAGAAAGAGGGAAAAAAATTTACTGGGAACCTAGGGGAATAGTAACAAAGTAACATAATATGGCTAGAAATAAAGTCTAGAACATTTTAGTTTGATTGGAGCAAATGAATAGAAAAATAGCATGTATTAGCAAATTGTTGCCTAAAATACTAAATATTAAAATATTTGTATTTTTTTCCAGCTGCATAAAATTTTAGGAGATAAGATGAATAATACTGCTGTAATTGAGAAGCAAGTACTAGAACTCTGGGATAGACTATATCATTCTTGGTTTGTAAAGGTAAGTTATTTTGCCTAAGGATTTCTGTTGTAAACTAATAGTCTTTTTAATTCATATAATAATTGACTGAATAGGATTGTGTTAGTACTGGAATTTCATTTATTGAAAAATATAAACAGCAAGAGTCTAAGTGTTATGTTACTAAAAGTGAACTTGTTTCATTTATTGGTCTCCATAGCAAGACCTGTTCATCTCTCTGGTGTATCAGTATTCCATCAAACTCTGCACATATCATATACATGTTGTTCCACTAGAGAGGTCCTGTGCAGTAGAAATGTAGTGCAAGGTACATTGTCTTTTTTCCCAGTGCTGGAGATTGGACCCAGGGTTTGTGTATGTTAAGCTTAAGCTCTACAACTGCGCTACATACACCATTCAGCCCCTGCAGGATACATATATGATGTTTCTACTAGCTATATTAAACAACTAAAACAGATGTGATTACTTTTATAAAATGTATTTATTGATAGATTTTATATCCTTCTACAAAATCTTCCAAATTTAATGTGCCTTTAACGCCAGTGGCACACTTCTCAGGTTTTGTGCTAGTAGTCCCATGCTGCTAGTTGCTATTGTTTTGGATAATACAGTTCCACACATTAAGACTTTTTAATGAGATACTGAAAAGTGTTAGAAAACGCTTAAGATAACCTTGTATGCCATTTATGCTTATGTGCTCTTTATTTCAAAATTTGTGATGGGGCATAACACAATCTTTCACTAAGTATAAAAATGATTATTTTGAAAGCATACAGTTCTGCTGAGCCATGCTCTATCATATGTTTTGTGGGCCATCAAGAGCTATGCTGTGTATGAGTGTGGCAGAAGTGGTCATCTTTTCTCTAGGGTTGATAGAGGCGAGGAGAAGTAGATAAAAATCTCATTTGGCATGGAAGATTATGGGGCTGACTTTCTCTTCCATGAATTTCACTGTTCCATAAATAGTGATGTGATTCAGATTGTGTAGTTTGGCTGTGGGATGAGTTGAGTGAATAATGTTGGTTTTTGTGAATTTCAAAGAAGGTGAAATAAAACAGCTAAGGGTGTGTTAGATAGAGTACTCATGTATCGATTCTATCTGCTGAGAAACTAGGTAATTCGTAAGGTTATATTTATTTTCTTTTACTAATTTTGGGTTGTGTATGTGAGAGTATGAGTATGTAAGTGGTGATACTGGGCCTTGACCTTGGCCTTGCATGCAATCTCAGCTTTTTGACTCATAGTTGGCACTATACCATTTGAGCCACACTTTCAATAAGGGCTTCTTAATACACAGCTACTCTTATCCCTCATCCCTTTTTTTTTGTTGTTGTTGAACTCTAGGCCTGGGAGTTGTCCCTCATGCTCTACCACTTGAGCCGCAGCGCCACTTCTGGTTTTCTTGTAGTTTATTGGACATAAGAATTTCACAGACATCTCCTGCATGGGCTAGCTTTGAACCACAATTCTCAGATCTTAGCCTCTTGCTTAGCTAGGATTACAGGCATGAGCTACTGGTGCTAGGCTCCCTCATCTCTTTTGAGCCTCTTTTGATGATGTAGGGAGGATCAGTCTTAAGCCCAGATCTGCAGGTGGTTAAGTATAGTGTAGAGTCTGCTTTTTGTCTTTTTGCAAAAGTGAGGGGATTAACATCACTGAAAAAGTGGGAGAGCAGAAGCATATACAGAACGTTAAGAACTTACCAGCTAAGCTTTAACCTCACCACTGTGTTTATTTGTACATCTTTCAAATTGGGTTATTTCTACACCCCCGCCCATGATAGGTGAATTACCTTTCCTTTTTTTATTGTTGGTTCTTCACCATCTTGTGTAGGGGATTAGTAAAGAAGATGAGAGAAGAGGGAAGAAACCATAAACACGATACCAAGAAAAAGGTAGAATAGCTTAAAAAAAAAAAAAAAGACAAGGTGATAGCTTATGCTGTGTTAGCATATTGTTGTATATATTAAGAAAAAGTATGTTCAAACACATATTTATGAGAGAAGCACTTGAGTCCATCTTAGAGATGGTACCTAGAATGTAAGTAAAAATTTTGTATTTCAGTTCTTGCAGTGAAGCCTTAATTGATTTCTTAATACGGATGGTACCTAGAATGTAAGTAAAAATTTTGTATTTCAGTTCTTGCAGTGAAACCTTAATTGATTTCTTAATACGGAGTTTTTCTCCTTTGAGTACTTGCCTAAGTGTGGAAGTGGACCTAAAACCAAATGAGATATTTATATTTGTATTTTTTAGGTTAAGATGGAAATTTCATGTCTGAACTGTTTTATTCCATAGAATGTAACACATTCTGGAAGGCATAAAGGGCACAAGATGCATATAAGTCGTCAGAACAGCTGGCTGGGAGACATTCTGGACTGGCAGGATATTGCCTCTTTTGTTCACGAGAACATTGAGACATTTCTTTCGGTAAGATGTATTTATAGCTAAGTTGGACTTAGAAATAAAAAAAGAAACTCGTTGCAGGTTGTCTTTACACACATTGAAGCCTTTCAGTTACTCTGTGTTTAAATACTTTGACATTTGTAGATTTTGAGAACTCTAGATGCACTTTAGAAAGGTGTCTAAAAGCAAGTCTTCAGGTGTGGCTCTCCTGGTACTTGCTCAGTTAAAGCATATGCTGAATTTTGAATCATCTAAGCAATGCTGTGGGCTGTCAGATTCTTGATGTCTTCCACCTCAGGCTCACCAGAATGTTCTCAGTCAAATCATTAGTGAATAACCCACTTTTCTAGCAAGTCCCTTGACTTGGAAATACAGTTCTAGGTATATTAGAGAGACTGAACATGTGAAAGTTTGGATTTATAGCTTCCTACTTACTTTCCCACCATTCACTTACCACCTCTAGTCTTACAGCATTGCTGAGTGTTATTACCATTCATCTAAGAGCCGACTTGGGCATATATTGGTGGGTGATAGAGATAAGAAGAATTTTCTTGTGAATAAACATGTGACTTTCACCCAGTTAACAGAAGTTGAGGTTTGCAATGCTACCTTCTTAAGACATTTACGTTTTATCAAATAACTCATAGCTGAAAGTCAACTGTTTAGAATTTTTTTTTTACTTTAAAAAAAAAAATGTTGTAATTTGTGCTTCCCTATATCATTCTCTAGGAATAAACTATCAGTTCCAGTTCTCCAGTGTTTCTCTGGATTTCTAATATTTTAGACATTATTATGTTCACATTCTCTCTTGTCTTGCCATTTTAGATATTATCTTTTGGCTTCCAAATATGGAAGATGAAGGTAAAGATGTGACATTCTTTCAAGCCCTTCAATGCTTTCTCCTTTGGGACTTTTTTTTTTGCGGTGCTGGGGATCAAATCCCTTGGGACTTTTTTATTTTGTGTGTGTGTGTGTGTGTGTGTGTGTGTGTGGTGTTAGGGTCAATCCCTTGGGGCTTCCTTAAAAATTTCTTCAGCCCTACCACCCTGCACTCACATTCTTCCTTTCTTCCCACTTACCTGCACAACTGACAATTTGGAATTAGATTTAGAAGTTCACGCCCTTCGGTTTTTTTATTTTGTTAGGATTTCATTTCGTTTAATTGATTTTCATTTAAATTTTCTTGGCAGGACTGGGGATTGATCTTGGGAACTCACACAGTGCTCTACCACTTGGGTCACACCTCTAACCCTTTATTTTAATTTGGTTTTTAGTAGGGTCTCTTTCTTTTGCCCAGCTTACATGGGTTCTGATTCTTTTATCACTACCTCCTTATTGGCTGAAAATTACCCCAATACCCAGTCTTGATTTTCTTTTTCAGTTTAGAGACAAGGACTCTCTATGTTGCCCAGACTGGCTACAAGCTTCTGGCCTCAAGTGATCCTCCTGTTTTAGCCTCCCAAGTAGCTGGGACTGTAGGTTCACAACATTATCTAGGGATAATGAAATCCCTTACCTCTAATTTCTCTAATCCAAAAGTTTTTAGTTACAGTTACAAATACTTTAAGAAAGTATTTGTAAAAAATAATTTCTTAAAATGAAAAATGATTTATTGAGAAAAATGGCCTTCTTGCAAATCTATACATCTTCAAAATAGTGATGTTTTGTTGTATTTACAGGTCACATTCTTTTTTTTTTTTTGGTCCAATCGTGGGGCCTGAACTCTGGGCCTGGGCACTGTCCCTCAGCTCTTCAGCTCAAGGCTAGCGCTCTACCACTTGAGCCACAGCACCACTCCGGCTTATTTTCTTTTTGCTTATGTGGTGCTGAGGAATCAAACCCAGGGCCTCAGGCATGCAAGGCAAGCGCTCTACCACTGAGCCACCTTCTCAGCCCTAAGTCACATTCTTTAAGGTTACCGTTTTTTAAAAATAAAAACTTAGAAAGCTGTGAAGGTCACATTAACTGATATATTTCCAAAATGAATGATTTCAAAATTTTATTGTTGACAGCAAATCACTTCAGTGGTTTTCCTTGAAGTGACACATTATGCATTTTTCAGAAAAATTCTACCTTCTGTGAGGTTTCCCAGGTGTTCTTTTATGTGGGAATGGTGGTCAATGGAAAAATTTGCTTGTTCAACTTCTAGCTCATTCAGACTTGTGCCCTTCCTTCTAGGGCTGTCAACTCTTGGGTATGCAGCAGGAGTGCTTCTTGTTTACCTCCCATTTTTTCACATAGAATATTGAAAAGATGGCAGTGGGGCCGGGCGCTGGTGGCTCACGCCTGTAATCCTAGCTACTCAGGAGACTGAGATCTGAGGATCGCGGTTCAAAGCCAGCCCGGGCAGGAGAG